CTGCGTCAACTCCTCCTTCGTGACCGTCACACGGGCTCCTCGGTCTGCCACAAGCTGCTGGTCGGTGGGTACCCCCTCCTCCACCTGCTGCCAGTAGTGCACCCAGCTCCCATACGGATGTGGCCTGTCACTGGGAGCATCGTCCGACATAGCCTGCCTGTTGAGGAGTCAAAGGTTCCAATGGCATCGCACGAGCTTCTCGGCCCACGCCACCTCCAATCTGTTACGAGATTTGGAGTGGATGAAACTCCAACGGGACCAAGCTCTCTAGCAAGGCGAAGCAGTCGCCCACACACGCAGTATCCTGCTAGCGAAGAAGGCCGTGTGTGGGAAACTCTTCTCATTCGACTCCCAGAAACAGGATGGATGGGTATAGCTCCTCGTCGCCAAGTTCATGGCCACGTCGTCGAATGGCGGCTCCCTGGAATGGAACTTGTCAATGGCAGTGAGGACCTCGTTGTGCTGATCTGAATGTTCCGGGTACCCAAACTGAATCAGAGCGAGTTTCAAACCGTGCTGCATCTCCTCGTCGTCGAGCATCGTGCGGTCTCGAAACTCGGGGTCCAACATCATGGCAGCGACATGAGCAGGCGACTTGAACATGGTGCGGCGTCTGTCAAACACCTCAAGCAGCGCGTCCTGCTCGTCATTCTCCAAAGCGGCACATGCAGACAAACAACGTGCGATCATCTCGTCGTACCGACGCAGAATCTTGCCAATCTGCCTTTTGTCGCTGTCTACCTTCTGCAGCATGTCCATGATGGGATTCAACAACTTGCACAGCGTTCTCATATCCTCCCACCATTGAGGACAACCGACACATGCTGTGACCTTCGCGGCGTCGTCTCGAATCTTCTTCGTTGACCAAACAGTGTSCTTCCATCGATCATCAACGACCACCTGCATAAAATGCGATTGCAGCAGAAGAAGTCGTCGCATCATAATCACATGCGTACCAAAGCGATTCTCGGCGGGAAGCAGCAGAACCTTCGTCGTGAAAGCTTGCAAAACTTCGCGAGCGTGGCTATGACGCTTGAAAAACTTTGTGACCAAACGCGCCTGAGCAATGCGGGTCGCCACCCAGTCAATGTCGCCGATGTCCTCAAGGATGAGGTCCATGACGTGTGCCACACAAGGAATCCAAAAGATGTGCTTGACACTCTCATCCTTCTGGAACACCTCCATCGCAGAAACATTCGAACTGGCAGAGTCTGTGATGAAAGCGTTGATGTCGGCGAGCTTGATGTCAAGGGACTTCAACCTTCGCAGCCAAGCTTGTGCCAGAGCAGTGGCATCCTTCTTTCCTCGCATAACATCTGTCGCGACGTATGTGGCGCCCCGTGTAGTGCCGACGAGATAGTTGCACAACGTTTAGCCCCGAATGTTGGTCCAACCGTCTGTCATTATCGTTCAACCGTAGGTGGCTGCAGTAGCGAGGACAGGTTTCACACACTTTTGGATTTCCACATCAAGCTCATCGAAAAGTGTGGTACAGATCAGTGATATGTTGGGGGTTTTCGGGTGGGGACTCCTGGAACCCCAGGCGGGATGATCAATGTCAACATGCGTTTGAAGCTCTCAAGCTTCACACAGTTGAACGGCATGCCGCTCTCGACAATGAATCGCATGATCTGCAGGTGCCATGCGTGCTCCAGCGGGTCGTTGTAATACGAGGTCACCGCCTGCTGCCTGTAAGTGCCCCTCACTCGTGCACCGGCGCCCATACCTAGCGAATCCCACACCCCGCCCCCGGCCGCAGGTGATGCGGTGGGGCATGGACTCGGAGCTGCAATGTTGCGCAGATTCTGTAAAGGATCCAGTGTCCCAAAAACACGGTGCTGCGAGGTCGGGCCGTTCACGGGCACAGGAGTGGGTGACGAATCCGAAACCTGGACGGGCTCGTCGAGCTGGACGTTTCCCGTACCCTCAGTGACCATTGCAGCGGCCTCGCCAATAGGTGCCAAAGTCAAGTCTGGTGTAGGCCGTCGTGTTTGCGAAGGAGGGGGAGGCAACCATGGATACGCAGCGGATTGATGTCCTGTTGCGGGTGCTCCTGCCACGGCCGGACGTGTGTCTGTGTGTTGAACTCTAGGGACCTTGTCTTTGTTGCCAGTGACTAACGGGGCGAGGCATGATGATGTGCCAGCGTCCTTCCCCCACCCACGGCCCTCGACGAAAGCACGAGTGCCTTGCTCATCGAACGGCACAGGTTCCCCGACACCTGAAACTGGCACGGTGCCTTGCGCATCAGGCTGCATTGCCACAGATGGTCTGCCATCAACGGATGCGGGAATCGTCTGACGAAGCGGACGAGGGGGGAAGGGAGCAAGTGGTGCACATGGAGATGGCGCCACTTGCGAGGGGGCAGTGGTCGACGGGGGCGGCGGAACGACGTCATCGGAAAAACGAAGAGGTGGCCATTGAAAAGAGGGATGACCTAGAGGGAGACTCTGCAAGACCTGCATGGCAGAAGCCAAATGTGCAGGACACTTGGACATATCCTTTGACCAAATCGTGTGCCACACCGCCGAAGTGGCCACTTGACATCTATACCCCTCGCCACGAAAAAAATGTCCCTTCGCCTCACGAGCACCCCCACATAGAGAACGACCGCATAACCTGCACAAACAACGGCGACCGTTCTTCCTCCCGATCGCAGTGGATCCATCTAAATAACAACCACGAGCAACGAAATGCCAAACAGGATCATCTCGTTTTCCATCCGCCTTTGGATCCACCTT